GCGGGTGGGGAGGCCGGTGCTCTGGCCCCTGCAGGCCCCCGGCCCCGGACCGCAGCCCATCCTGCACTCCTTCAGCGCCTGCTTCTGCTGGGCGCAGGAGACTCCAGTTCGTTGCAAGTTTCGTTGTGTTGTTGTATTTCGTTGGGTTCTTTTTCCTTTTGCTACGAAACTGAAGAAAGAGAAAAACACACACAAAATAAATCCGTTTAGATCCAAACGTCACTGGAGCCTGGCTGGTTTTTCTGTGGCTTTCGTTTTTGCCGCCGTATTTCTTCCTGACTAGAAAGAAAAGGAGGTCCCTGAGCTGGGCCCTGCCTTAGCTCTGGGTGACCTGCCCGGGCCGACAGGGAGAGACTGACCAGAGTTGTTAAAAAAAGGCTGCTGTCAGTGCCCGACCCGCAGGCACCTGTCCTGCCGCCCCTGGGCTGCCCCACTGGGAGGAGGGCCGCACAGGGCACCCCGGCCCCGCTAAGGCAGGACGCGGCCCGGTGCGTGAGGCCGTCCTTGGGGGTGACCCCACACACAGCGCCGATGCGTCCTGGTGGCAAGCGCTGTCCTCAGCTCTTCTGAGCCTGCGGTCTCCCACCTGAAGGGCCGAGGCCTGGACTGCAAGGGCACCAGGGAGGGCGGCACCTCTGGGAACTTCACGCTAAGAGAGCTGGGGCCACCGTAAGACACTTGACTGTTACCTCTGTTCACGACGGGAGGGGGATGGAGTCCGGTGAAGTCTACGGTTTGCGCATTTGGAGAAGAGCTTGCCACGGAACTTGCCAAGGCTCCCCGCTTTTCTGTCTGGGGACAGCAAGGCTCCTCCTCACGGCTGGGACAGCTGCAGGTCCCGCGAGGATGTCGCCTGAGCTTGTTTTAGTGCCTCTGTCTGCAAGACAGAGAAAAGCCGGGGGCTGGCGCCTCCCCCTTTGCCTTAGAGTGAAACTTAGAACCGAGAGGTTGGGTCTCTGTGAGGGTTTGAGCAAAATCCCCAAACCCAGGGGCTGAGTCCTCCGAGCCCCAGGGAGGGGAGCGAGCTGCCCTCTCCGTGGGCAAAAACGCTGGTGCAGACAGAAGTAGAAATGTGGGCGTGGGGGAGCGAGTTAAGGGGAGCAGTTGGGGAGACTGGCCAACCTCAGGACGCCCCGCCGCTCAGACTCTTGCCGACGACGAGGGGCCCAGAGTCTGGGTGCGTGCGAGGGCCGGTCTTCCGGCTGGTTTCGATGAGGGCACCTTAGTTTCCACTGCTGCCGCCTGAGGGGCCACTGGAGAGCCATCCTCCCGGCAGAGAAAGCGGATGGAGGGCTGAGGGCCGGGCAGCCTGACGGTCGGTCTTCTTTTGCGGGGAGGGGTTGGTGGGCAGGGAGCCGCGCTCAGCCCTCTCCCTCCAGCACCCCAGGCCTCTCAGAGCCCAGTACTCGGGGCCTGGACCGGGCAGTGGGGCTGGGGTGGGACAGGGAGGCTCGGGAAGTGCCCCCGCCGCCGCGCCCCCGCGCCCCCCGCGCCCCAGTGCTTGGGCTCCTCTGCAGGGCGGGCCTGAGCGAGGGGCTGAGTGCTGGGTTTGGTTTCACTTTCCTCTCCTTCTATTTTCTTTTGCTTTTTCCTCCCTGCTTCCGTCTTTCTTTTTCCTTCCTTTCTTCCCCCACCTCTTCTCTCCTCTGGTTTTCCCTCTAGGATAAGCTGGAGAAGACAAATGAACACGGAGAACAGGGAAATTATTGGAGGAGGCAGGAGGAACGCTTATTTTTGTGTTTAGAGACAGAACTTTTCCAAAAAGCTTTCAGGGGATCCACGAACTCTTGCAGGAAAGCTGCCAGCCTGTGGAAAGCATCTCTGAGCCCCTGGAGCACCTCTGAGTCCTCCAGGAGTGCAGAGCTTAGGCCCCCTACCTGCTCCCTCCTCCTAGCGGGGCGCCGTCGGGCAGGTGCTGGGGGCGGAGCTTCTGCCCGCGGTG